ACAGCCTCCTCTGCAGGGACAGAAGGACATGGCCTGGAAACTGATAGTGATACTGGATGCAGGGGGTGGGCAAAAAAAAGATTTGAAATGTTCAGAATTCAAAGTGTATAGGAATATTGGACAGACATATAAGATGTCCTCACTGCCCCCCCTCCCCCCAGGGGAAAGAGACAAACAGAGCCAGGGTCATTGAGAGCTGTTTTGCACAGCAACAGTTTTGCAGCTAACCTCTGGAATGGTCATTTAACATATCTATAACCTTTAACTGGTTTCATAGATATGTTAAATAGCTGTGGCCAAGTTTTGAGCCAGGGAGAGGGGAGCGCTGTGTGGGTGTAGGTGTATACCCTAAAGGACTTTGTCATTTTAGTGGAGGTGTTAGGCCTGAATAGCATTAAATAAACATTTTGTTTCCTTTTCCCAAATCTCCGGCATTGAGAGATGTCTTTCCAATTGGCAGTGGACAGAAGAGCCCAGTAGATATTAGTATTCTGTCCTTGGGAGTGACCCCGGTTCTGTAGCAGTTTTTGGCATCCCTAGATGGGCCAAATATTGTCCACCCCATCCCCCCACCTGTTGTTAGGTAACAGTTTTTGGCGATCCCAAAGGGACGATAATTGTCTGTGGCAGACAGACCCCCTCAGATGCGAGAGAGCGAGGCTTCGGAATTTTCCCAGTCTCTGAGCATTTCTCTGCCTCTTGAAGGCATCGGCCGCCTAGTCACACCTGGAAAGGTGAAAAGGAAACAAAACAGGGAAGGGAGCAGAGACGTGAAAGTGTTTTGGGTTGAAAAACTTGGTTTCTGACTGCTCTTTTGTAATAATGGAGCTGAAATTGTGGGCGATAGCAGGGGAAATACCTGATCTTTACACCATCTGTATTCTTTTTGTTCTGAATCTTTGTGTGCTTTGTTGGAGCTCTGTGAGTAGTTCTACAGAGAAATGTGTAATGGTCCAGAAGGAGAAAGGGGTCTTAGAATCCCTCTCTGATAGTAGATCACAGGAGGAGAGAGATGATGAGGAAAGAAACCTCATCAATGTCCTGAACCCAGGGAATGAGGGACCCCAGAGAGCGGGAACTCCCGTGGTAACGCTGCTTTCTGGGGAGGTGAAGCCCACTATGGCTTCTCCCATCCTGCAAGTGGGAGAAGTCTCCACCACGGATTCCCAGGCTCTGTGAATGGGCTCTGATCACCCACCACACCAGGGGTTGCCAGGGTCCTCCTTGGCTCCCGAAAACAGAGCCACACTGTCCCTACCTTCACAGGTGGGTGGAGCCTGCTCTCCACCTGCATTGGTGACTGCAGCCTCAGTGCACCACCCCCAATGGGTGGAGGGCAGTTCTGTGGTACCCCCACGCCCGTGGGTGGAAGGGGCCTTGGGGGCTTCTGGGGCTCCTGAAACCAGAGTCCTGGAACCTTTGCAGGTGGGTGGAACCAGAGTCGGGGTGCTGCCATTTTGGTAAAATGGATGAGCCATGTGAGTGCCCCACCATGGAGGACAGAGCGTGAAGGGGCATCGCCATCTTGGATGATCCCACGTGCATGGGTGCCACCATGTTGGAACTGGATAAAGCTTCTGATTTATGGGGTATATACTGCTGTGTGGGCACTGCAGCAATCAGGTTCTCTGTGTAACTGGTTCTGATAGTAATGGCTCTGGTTTTGAAGGTCATGAACTGAGGTCCAAGAGTGACCATTTCATTTATAAGGTCTAAGTTTCAGAAAGGTGCAAAATGTCCCTGCAAATCTAGGGACTTTTAGTGGAAGGTACCTATAGTGCTAGGGACTTTTAGCTGCCACATACTGAGCTTAAGTACTGAGTTTAAGTATAGTCCTTCCCAGTGTGGGAAAGGGACCAAGATTAAAAGAGAGTGATAGTTAAATATAGATGAGTAGAAATATGTATAAAGGATATAAAAGTTTTAAACCCTAGAGTAAAGGAAACCTCAACTACTTGTTTTCTGGTTTCATGGGAAAAACAAATTTCTCACATGTGGTTCTGTTTCTGATCAGAAACCTGTACTGTAAGACCTAGTGAAGGTCACTGTAACCGGTTGGGGAGGATGCCTTTGCCACCCCGGGCCCAGGAAGGGTAATTTGGGGCTGACAAGTGCTTCAGCCTGAGGCAAAGCAGCATGTCTCTGCCATGAGACCAGGCCTGAAGGAGCATATGTCTGTGAGGCACCAGTGGACGCATTGGTGCAAGAGAATGTCTCTACCTGTATTGTTTCGAAACTCTGTTTTGGATTTTGCTCTGTATCTGCTCTGAAAAGGAAACTGAGGATTCCAGGAAAGGTTGAAACTTCATACTCTATAGGAAAGTGAACAAGGAAAAGGATTTTCCATTATGCTTTGTATTTTTCTTCCTACCTGATCCCTCCAGAATTTGGCACTCTGAAGGAATGAGTGATGACATAAGGTTTCTTTGCATAAAACCAATAAGACCAGTCATTAATAGTAGTTTTGTTAACCAAGACTTTGACTGGAATGTCACGCCTGAAGGAGGCATGTATGGGTTCTGGTTGTTACCAGAAAGCCCTGAGGAACTGGGATTGACCTGTGAAGCTAGCAAAAGCCCACGAGAAAAGCCTGGTACTTTGGTTGGTTGTGCGGTTCGTGCCAGTCTTTCCAGGGAAGGAACGAAGGTTGCTTTCCTGAAAGATGGCTAAAAAGGAAAGCTGTAGGCACAATGGAGGCTCAAGGACTTGAGTGAAACAACTGGTACAGGCGAAGCCAGATGGCAGATGTGTGGCTCTGCTTCTGAGCCCTCAGGGGCGGACTGAGAAGTCAGTCTAAGAGTTCCCTGTGTGAGTTCCAGCAAAGTAGACTTAAGGATCATAAGTGATCCAGGCTGCTCTTGGTGTGTTTATGCAAATGAACAGTCAAAATCAAAAGCGGGACCCAAAGTAGTCCCTGTAATAACAGTGAGGGTGATCTTAAGGAGAAAAATTGTAGTTCAAAGAAAATCACTATGCTCAGTATTGGACATCAGAATGGTACAACTAACTGTCTTGAAAGTTTGTTTTCATTAAAGGGTTGAAACCAGGTTTGTGATGTCACCGAAAATGTACAATTTACAGGTGCAAAGGATCTTGCAATGGAATGTCTTCCCCAAAGACAGTCTCACAGGTGCAGAGACTGGTTTGGGGATTGTTGTGTGAATTAACCTGTGTGTTCTTCTGTTTTCATAGGGCGTATGCCTATGACCTGCCTATGCCTATGAGTGATTGGTTGCAATATAGGCCTCACTTAAGGAGCCCATCTTCATCATCGCCCCCCTGAGACTCAACGGTTTGGCTGAACTAAGTAGTTGGGTTAGTGAAGGGCTGGGGCGCTCTGTGGGCTTCACTTTAGAACTGATTTTCCCTTTTCTGTCTCGATTGCTTGGACAGAAAGCACTCAGAAATCTGAAAGGAGGGAAATCCTAATGTATTCCCCTCAGCCTGAGTGGAGTATAGTGGAGCACAAGAGTTTTTAGATAGGTGTAGCATGCCTTGTACACCTTCCTCTAGATAAGCCATTCTTTACTGAAGTCCCTGCCTTTGTCAATTAATGGTTATGATTTAATTGTGCTTCCAATTTCTTGCCTAATCTGTCACCTTCAGAATATGACCTGACCAGAATGCCAACAGTCCAGTAATGCCAGCCTTTGGACACCAAGCCTGCCACTTCCAGGTGACAGTCAACTGACCAGGACCCTATAAGGTCTTTCCCCTTACAGGAAGGACTCCCTCCATGCTGCATCCTCCCCACCCCCCTTTTCAGGGCACCCCTGACCCAGGTGTAGGTAGGACAACGTCCATGTCCAGCCTGAAGCAGCTACAAAAAGATGAGACCTTCGTCCATTTTCCTTTATATGATTATAAAGTGGGTGTATATCTGAAAGGAGGGATGTTGATACAGGGTGCAGCCGGGGGGCGGGCCCAGAAAAAAAAGATTTGAAATGGTGTTTAGAATTCAAAGTGTATAGGAATATTGGACAGACATATAAGATTTCCTCGCCTCCCTGCCCTCCCCCCACCCAGGGGGAAGAGAAAAATAGAGCCAGGGCCATTGAGAGCTGTTTTGCATAGCAACAGTTCTGCAGCTAACCTCTGGGATGATTATTTAACATATCTATAACCTTTAACTGGTTTCATAGATATGTTAAATAGCTGTGGCCAAGTTTGGAGCCAGGGAGAAGGGAGTGGCTTCGACCCAGGATGTAACTAGAGGCTGCGCCCCTGAGTAGGAGTGCATGTGTGAGAGCTTGGAAAGGATTGGCTCTGGGATATGAGGGGATAACTGGCCAGGTGAAGAGAGAGCCACCCGGTTTCAGCAGAGTGAGGACCCCCTCTTGGTGAGGTGAAAGAGGGAACCACGTGGTTTTGGCAGAGTGCAGACCCCCTCTTTGTGAGGTAAAAGAAAAAACCATGCAGCTTTGCCAGAATGGACATCCCTGAAGCCAGGTGAAGAAGAAAGCCACATGCTTTTGGTGGAGTGTGAACCCCTGCAGCTTTGGTAGAAGAGACCCATGTGGCTTTGGGGTTCCCCCTTTGGCCACGTGACCTGGAAAGCAGGAGAGACTCTGACTGGAACTGGGTACAAAGAACTCTTCCAGTGGACCATGAGAGGGTACCATGGTACTTTGGATTAACTAGAGAGATCCTGCCTGCACGGTGACACAGCTGACAGTGCCAGCGGCCTGAAACACAGATATGTGCTCTTTTCCTGATTTACGGTACCCAGAGTTGGGACAGTGGGAGAGGGGAGCGCTGTGTGGGTATAGGTGTATACCCTAAAGAACTTTGATATTTTAGTGGAGGCGTTAGGCCTAAATATCATTAAATAAACATTTTGTTTCCTTTTCACAAATCTCTGGCATTGAGAGATGTCTTTCCAATTGGCAGTGGACAGGAGAGCCCAGTAGATATTAGTATTCTGCCCTTGGGAGGAACCCCGGTTCTGTAGCAGTTTTTGGGATCCCTAGGTGGGCCAAATATTGCCCCCCTCCCCGGACCTGTTGTTTGGTAACAATAGCACCTCTGCTGCTGCTGGCCTGGCTTTCAGCCGCCACGTGCAGTGCCCGAGATGGGACAGAGCTGCTCAACGTCTGCATGGACACCAAACACCACAAGGCCAAGCCAGGCCCTGAGGACAAGCTGCATGACCAGGTATGGCTGGGCTGAGGTTCTGACTGGGGAGAGGCCTGCTTCTGACAGGGGAGAGGAAGTCAGGGTGGTGGGGGAAGGGCTGAGGGGTCAGACACCCACATGTGAGTTATGGCTGAGAAGATAAATGTCGGGAGTGCTTAGGTAATTTTAGGGGCGGCCTCCTCAGAACAGGATACCATGTGAGCAATTATACGAAATAATCATGTATGGAGCACCTACTAGGTGTCCTGTGTTTTCTGTACGTGAATTGATTTTTCCAGGGTCCTTGGAGGTAGGTAGGTGACATTTTCCACACAACACAAATGAGGACACTGAGGCCAAGGAGAACATGGACACACAGAGGCACTGGCCATGAACAGCCCTGGTGGCCAGGCAGTGGCAGGCCTGGGGCAGACACCTCTGCGTTTGGGGAGGATGCTTTTCCTACTTCCACTGTGGCCTGTCCCATGCAGAGCTGAGGGGGAAGCACAGGGCCTCCTGGGCCTGTGACACGGGGCTCTGGCATGGTCCTTGCACACGGTCTGAAACATTTCTGCCACTTGGTTGCAACCGTGTTAGACTCCATGCCTCCTTTTCATGACAAATGTTGTTTAGACTCTCTTTTCTATCCTGGAATGACATGTGAAGCTAATAGAATCTATTTGCACGTTTAGTTTAAAAAATATGAACACAATCACCTGTCATGCAAAGGAGAAGCCAAAAGAAAGCACTTGATCATAAAACCCCCACATTTCAACATGCCAATTCCTGGTAGAGCTACATTAGAAGTCACTGTGAAATAGCATGTGTCTCTTATCCAAAAATCACTATGAATGGGGCAGCTACAAATGAAGGTCAACACAGTTGTATTCTACTGGCCACTTAAATTGTACAAGACACTCTGAGCAGTGTTGCCATTGCTGACACAATTCCCTAGCACAGTGGCTAACTCCGGCAATGCAAAACACACAGTACGGCCTCCCATGTCATGCTTTGGTTTTTGTGTTACCTGGAGAATCTGGTCTATGTTACATAAAAACAGTGCTCAAGTATGGAGTATCTATAGGTGAGATGAAGTTTGGTTCAGATTAGAAAAGCATAAGTATGTCTTTAATTCACTGTTTTCAGCACATGTTTCTGTGCATCTGCTGTGTGTCCGGTCCTGGCCTAGGCACTGGCAGGGGGTGGGGGGACACAGATCTTAATATTTGCCAAGAATACGGTTATTCAACAGTGTGTTGCTGCGTCGCTCACTCTCTCTCCTCCTTTACTCAGAATGTCACCTTCCAATGGCGTTTCAAACCACCTCATCTAAAATCCCCACAGTCACCCATACTCCACATGCCCATTCCCTGCTGCAAATTTCCTCATGTAATTGACCATAGCCCTCCAATCATCTTTTTCTCCCTCGGTGTCCTACTGTCTGTCTCCTCTGACCAGAATGTAAGATCCATGAACACATATTTCTGTCTGTATTGTTGTCCATTCTATTCAGTCTAGAACAGGGCTGGCATAGAATAGATACTCAATAATAATTTTTAATAGTTTTAAAATTTTTATTTATTGATTTAGAGAGAGAGAGTGAGAAACATTGATTTGTCCCATTAATTTATGCATTCTTTGGTTGGTTCTTCTATGTACCCTGTCCCAGGATTGAACTTGCAACCTTGGTGCATCGGGACGATGTTCTAATCAACTGAGCTACCCGGTCATGGAATAATAATTTTTTTTTAATGCATAAATGTAAGAAATCTTTATAAAATGTTAAGGGCTGTGTAAATAATAGTTTATTACCCTGACTTGTGTGGCTCAGTTGGTTGAGCACTGTCCTGCAAAGAGAAAGGTCGCGGGTTCAATTCCTAGTCAGGGCACATGCCTGGGTTGCAGGTTCAGTCCCCGATCATGGTACGTACCAGAGGCAACCGATTGCCATTTCTCTCTCATATTGATATTTCTCTCCCTCTCTTTTTCCCCTCCTTCTCCTTTCTCTAAAAAATGAATAGGCCCTGGTTGGTGTAGCTCAGTGGATTGAGCACGGGCCTGTGAAGCAAAGGGTCGCCGTTTCAATTCCCAGTCAGGGCACATGCCTGGGTTGCAGGCCAGGTCCCTAACAGGCGACACATGAGAGGCAACCACACATTGATGTTTCTCTCACTCTTTCTCCTTCCGTTCCCCTCTAAAAATAAATAAATAAATAAATAAAAACAAATAAATAGACTTCTGCCAAGATGGAGGCATAAGTGGATATGTCGTGCCTTCTCACACAACCAAGTTTAGAGACAACTAAATATTAGCAACAGAAAACACAGCCAGAACACAGAAAATTGAACTTTTCGGAAGTCTGTTAAGAACAAATTCTTCAGTCTGACCCGTAAGGGGCGAAACCAGCAGCTGGCGGAGCCGGGTTGCACAGGAAAACTCCGTCAGACGGACTCAGGCGCACGGAATTCAGGCGCAGGGTTGGACCTGGTGGGCAACTCAGCAAGCGACCGTGGGGAAACAGCGAGGGAGCAGGGCTGCGTGTTGACTGTGGTCACGCATTTGTGCTCGGGTGGACAGGCGAGGGAGTGGGAGATTGGACCGGGACCCAGCCAGTCCCCGCAGCACTCGGCAGGGAGGGCGCCGCCATTTCCCTGCTCTGACCCCACCTCCACATACAGCGTCATAACCCAGCGACTCTGAGTGGCCCGGCCCAGGTGAACCACCTAAGCCTCTGCTCCTCGCCCAGTGGCACGGAACAGCAGAGGAGGTTGTCACTTCCGCGCTCTGACCACGCCCCCACATACAGGGTCACAACCCAGCAACCTGGGAGTCCAAGGCGCCGCTTCTCACACTTAAAGGGTGCGAAAAGACCAAAAATGTTGCAAGAAGATCTCAAAGCCCCAGAGCCCATAGATCTAAGCAATGAAGAAATAGCAAAACTCTCAGATGCACAGTTTAAAACACTGGTCATCAGGATCGTCACAGGACTGGTTGATTATAGCCACAAATTAGACAAATATATGAAGGTGAAACTAATTGAAATGAATGGAATTGCACAGGAAACCAATAGCAATGAAAAGGAAACTGGGACTCAAATCAATGGAGTGGACCAGAAGAAAGCAAATAATGGCCAAACAGAAAAGAGTCAAGAAGCAAGAATTCAAAGAAATGAGGAGAGTCTTAGGAACCTCCAGGACATCTTTAAACGCTCCAACATCCGAATTATAAGGGTACCAGAAGGGGGAAAGGCACAGCCACCAGTGGAAAACTTATTTGAACAAATAATAAAGGAGAATTTCCCCAATCTGGCAAAGGAAATAGACTTCCAGGAAATCCAGGAAGCTCAGAGAGTCCCAAAAAAGTTGGACCCAAGAAGGAATACACCAAGGCACATCATCATTACATTAGCCAAAATTAAAATGAAGGAGAGAATCCTAGAAGCAGCAAGAGCTAAGGGGACAGTCACCTACAAAGGAGTTCCCATCAGACTATCAGTGGATTTCTCAAAAGAGACCTTACAGGCAAGAAGGGGCTGGAAAGAGGTATTCCAAGTCATGAAAACCGAAGACCTACAACCAAGATTGCTCTATCCAGCAAAACTTTCATTTAGAATGGAAGGACAGATAAAGTGCTTCTCAGGTAAGATCAAATTCAAGGAGTTCATCATCACCAAGCCCTTATTATATGAAATGTTAAAGGGACTTATCTAAGAAAAAGAAGTTAAAGAAACATGAACAGTGAAAGGACAACAAACTCACAGTTATTAACAACCACACCAAAAACAAAAGCAAACTAAAAGGACAGCTAGATCAGAAGTGGAAACATAGAAATGAAGATCTCAGGGAGGGTTAGCAACAGGGGAGTGGGAGGAGGAAAAGGGGGGAGAAGGTACAGAAAATAAGTAGCATAGACAGTAGATAGAAAATAGATGGGGGGCAAGAATAGCATGGGAAATATAGAATCTAAGGAATTTGAGATACATGGACATAAACTAAAGGGGGGGTAATGGTGGGGATGGGGGGTAGGGTGGAGGGGAATGAAGGGGGGAATAGAACAACTGTAACAGCATAATCAATAAAAAAAATTAAAAAAAAAACAAATAAATGAAATCTTTTATTGTCCTCCCAAGTCAGGGTTTCTCCTAGGTTCCCACAAAACCCTGATCACACTGTTGTAATTGAGTGTTCCCCAAGATGTAAATTCCTGGAGGCCAGGAAGAGAGGGGTCCTCACAGTGAGTGTTTCTAGGGCAACCTTCCTGGGGCAGGAGAGCAAGAACTGAATGGGCAGAGACTAGGTGTGGCAGGAGTGTGTGGTGGGGGAAGGACTCAGTGCCGTGGCCACCCCTCCCAGTGCAGTCCCTGGAGGAAGAACGCCTGCTGCTCCCCCAGCACCAGCCAGGAGCTGCACAAGGACTCCTCCCTCCTGTACAACTTTAACTGGGACCACTGTGGCAAGATGGAGCCCGCCTGCAAGCGCCACTTCATCCAGGACACCTGCCTGTATGAGTGCTCCCCCAACCTGGGGCCCTGGATCCAGCAGGTGCGGGTGCCTCCCTCACCCCAGCCCAGCAGGCTGCCCTCCAGCTCAGTCCAGCCTGTGGCTGCCAACCTGCCTGGCTGAGATGAGTTGTTTCCCTCCCACCTCCCACCCAGGTGAACCAGAGCTGGCGCAAAGAACGCTTCCTGAACGTGCCCCTGTGCAGAGAGGACTGTGAGAGCTGGTGGGAAGACTGCCGCACCTCCTACACCTGCAAGACCGACTGGCACAAGGGCTGGAACTGGACCTCAGGTGAGGGCCAGGCAGGTGGCAGATTGAGGAAGTGTTTTGACAAAGGCTGTTCCAAGATTGGGGGTTGTGTGAATATCTCTGGGGTAACCAGGGCCTGAACATGTGTCTCTCCTCTGCTCCTGCAGGATCTAACAAGTATCCAGCTGAGGCTGTCTGCCGCACTTTCGAGTTCTACTTCCCCACACCTGTAGCCCTGTGTGAGGGCATCTGGAGTCACTCCTACAAAGTCAACAAGTACAGTCGAGGGAGTGGGCGCTGCATCCAGATGTGGTTTGACCCAGCGCAGGGCAATCCCAATGAGGAGGTAGCGAGGTTCTATGCCATGACCATGAATTCTAGGGCCCAGACCCATGGGATTGGGCCTCTCCTGCTCAGCCTGACCCTGATGCTCCAACTCTGTCTCCTTGGCTAAGTTGCTCCCACTACTGATACCCAGACATTTTCCTTGCCTGCACCCAACCTGGGTGACATCAGCTCAGCCCAGTTCATCCAGCTCTCTCAATCAGGAGCCTCACAATGCCCTGGTCATTCATTCCTTATCCAGGATGGGTACTATGAGGTTTCTGTGACAGCCTATTCAAATAGAGAGATCCACTTGTGTCTTGTGTGTTGTAAATAACTTGAGGATGAATAAGTTGTGGGGTGGAACATGCCTCATTGATTCATCATTCCTGTTGAGGGGACCCAAGAAAGGCTGGGACCATCTTGAAATTCACCAGCAAGTAGGGAATGTAACTTGATCCCTCTGGGATCTGGGCTCTTAGCTCTTCGCCAGGCTTCCCTTATGCTAAGTTCGTCTTCTTGGCATCACAAAGGAACGAGGGGATTGGTGGAGGGAAAGTGGGCAGAAATTGGCAGATAAGTTATTGGGTTTCTGATGTGAAAAATGTTTCTTTCCTTATCCTTCTCTTACTAGATGTGGCCTGGGATGGAAATATTGGTGGAAGGGTCTCAATAATGAACACCTGCATTATTTCCTTTTTAAAAGATGACCAATTAATGCTACAGTGGATAATTTTGTCCATAGTACTTTGTTATGCTTGAATTCCAGAAGAGGGATTGCTGGGACAAGGAGTATATGGATTTCTAATTTTGATAGTTACAGCTTTACAGGGGTAGCGTCGCTGTGGTCCCGACCAGCAATGCATGAGTGCCTGGTTCCTTGCATCCTTGTCAACACGCTGTGACGTCAGACTTCTGATTTTCTGCCAAGCTGATGGGCACTGTTTTCTTTTGCCATGTGCCTTATTGATACAGGGTGCAGCGGGGGGGGGGGGGGGCAAAAAAAGATTTGGAATGGTGTCCAGAATTCAAAGTGTATAGGAATATTAGAGAGACATGTAAGATGTCCTCACACCTCCCCCCAGGGGGAAGTAACAAATGGAGCCAGGCCATTGAGAGCTGTTTTGCATAGCAATAGTTTTGCAGCTAACCTCTGGAATGGCTATTTGACATATCTATAACCTTTAACTGGTTTCATAGATATGTTAAATAGCAGTGGCCAAGTTTGGAGCCAGGGAGAAGGTAGTGGCTGAGACTCAGGATGGAACTAGGGGCTGCGCTCCTGAGTGAGGGTGCTTGTGTGAGAGCTTGGAAAAAGATGGGCTCCAGGACATGAGGGGATAACTGCCCAGGTGAAAGGGAAAACCACGCAGCTTTGCCAGAATGGAGATCCCTGCAGCCAGGTGAAGAAGAAAGCCACATGCTTTTGGTGGAGTGCAGACTCCTGCAGCTTTGGTAGAAGAGGCCCACGCAGCTTTGGGGTGCCCCCTTTGGCCGCGGGGCCTGAAAAGCAAGAGAGACTTTGACTGGAACTGGGTACAAAGGACTCTTGCCAGTGGACCATGAGAGGGTACCACAGTACTTTGGATTAACTAGAGATCCTGCCTGCACGGTGACACAGCTGACGGTGCCAGTGGCCTGCAACACAGACGTGTGCTCTTTTTCTGATTTACGGTACCTGGAATGGGACAGTGGGAGAAGGGAGAGCTGTGGGGGTGTAGGTGTATACCCGAAAGGACTGCTATTTAAGTGGTGGCATTAGGCCTGAATAGCATTAAATAACATTTTGTTTCCTTTTCACAAATCTCTGGCATTGAGAGATGTCTTTCCAATTGGTGGCAGACAGAAGAGCCCAGTAGATATTAGTATTCTGTCCTTGGAAGGGGCCCCTGTTGTTCTGTAGCAGTTTTCGGCATCCCTAGGTGGGCCAAATATTGTATTGCCCCTCCCTCGGACCTCTTGTTCGGTAACATTTTCACGAGAACACAGTTTCTGAGATATTTCTGTATCAGTCTGTTGAGATCTAGTTCATGCTTTTTCACTGCTGTACAATATTTTCTATGTACATGTCACCTTCAGTTCAGTCACCGACTGATGAATATTTAAGAGGAGGTTCTTTCATGACCTTGACATTCTTGAAAAGCACAGGCCAGTTATTTTGTAGAATATGCCTCATTTAGAGTTTATCTGTTTCCTCATCCCTAGACCAAAGCCGTGAGTTTCCGACACAAATACCCCAGAAGTAACACCCTGTCGTTCTTGCTGCGTCACAGTTGGAGGCGCATGGTGTCAGGCTGGCCACTGATGGTGGCAACCGGTCCAGGGTTTTTTACTACATTTTCCCCTTTATAATTAATATGTATATATGGTAGGGAGATACTTTGAGAACTGTAGATATCCTATTTGTCAGCAAACTTGAACTCCTCACTTTTACTGACATATTTTTTAAAAAGTAGAAAGAAACACCAAAAATGTCTTCTTAGATGGCAGCTCCTTACCAACCCTGGAATGCTTTTCAATGTGTCTGTTGGAAAAGCCAAACTTCTTCAATGGCATAGAAGGCCTTGCCCATCCCCCCTACTTGGTTACATGTCAAATGATTGCCCCTCCATTGTCCCACACGTGAGCTCCATTCACATTTTCACTCTGGGGCCTTTACTCCACCAGTTCCCTCCCTGTGCTCCTGCAATGTTCTTTTATCGTCGGCATGTTCTTTCCTGGTAGCCACTTAGATTTCAAATTAAAATTTCCCCCTAAAATGACTTCTGACCCTCTAAACAAAAGCAGTCTTCCAGGCATTTTTTTGTTTGTTTGTTTGTTTCTTTTCTTTTTTAATCCTGGGGGGGAAGAAGAAGGGAAGGGAGAGGAAAGGTGTAGGTTTGCTCCCTGGGGGGGGGGAGAGAGCGCCTCCAGGCACTTCCTTATCTCATCCCTTCAGTCGTCAAAACAAGATCGAAAACAAAAAAAAAAAAAAAAAAGAGGACAAACCTCCCCCCCCTCACGAAAACAACCGGAAGAAAGAAAAAGGTTGGTGAGGTGAAAGAGGGAGCCACACGGTTTTGGCAGGGTGTGGACCCCCTCTTTCCCAGGTGAAAGGGAAAAACCACGCAGCTTGGCCAGAATGGAGATCCCTGCAGCCAGGTGAAGAAGACAGCCACATGCTTTTGGTGGAGTGTGGACTCCTGCAGCTTTGGTAGAAGAGGCCCACGCGGCTTTGGGGTGCCCCCTTTGGCCGCGGGGCCTGAAAAGCAACAGAGACTTTGACTAGAACTGGGTACAAAGGACTCTTGCCAGTGGACCATGAGAGGGTACCACAGTACTTTGGATTAACTTGAGATCCTGCACAGTGACACAGCTGACGGTGCCAGCAGCCTGAAACGCAGACGTGTGCTCTTTTCCTGATTTACGGTACCCGGAGTTGGGACAGTGGGAGAAGGGAGTGCTGTGTGGGTGTAGGTGTACAACCTAAAGGACTTTGATATTTTAGTGGTGGCATTAGGCCTGAATAGCATTAAATAAACATTTTTGTTTCCTTTTACAAACTCTGCTAAGTGTTTCATGGCGGGCGAAGGGGCGTGATTTTTAGTTTTTTTTTTGGGGGGGCCCTGTGCGCGTTTTGGGACCTGGGGATTTGTGCCCCCCCGCCCCCTTGCCTTTGCACAGATACTAACCTACTGTGTGTCCTGCCGGGCTTTTCCGTAACAAAAGTATACATCTGAGAGCAGACTTATACAGAGCAGGGGCCCTGTCTCTGTCATTTGTGCCTTGTCGCCCGGGCCTGGGTCAGTACCAGGCACAGAGGAGGTGCTCAGGAAGTTAAGGAATCCGTGCCCTCACACGGTCAGGCGACCCAGTCTGCTGGTCTCTCTGCTAACAGGGAGGAAACTGAGTACCTTGCACATCTGCTGGGGGCAGATGGACCTGAGAACAAACAACTCTCAGAAAACAAGCAGCTGAGGTTTTGCTACAGGGAAGCCCAGAGTGCGCTGTTGTTACGCGGAAGCACAGAGAGGTCAGGGAAGGCTTCCAGAGGAGTCATGTTTGCCAAGCAAAAAACGGCAGGAAAAGCAGCCCTTCATGGAGAGGGTTCGACAAAGGCTTGGAGGTGATAGAAGGGCAAGCAGAATTTCTAGGTAGCTAAGATAGAAGTTAAGAGGGCAAAGGTAAGAAGTGAGCCCAGAGGAGAAACACTGAATCTGCAATCCCCAGAGAGCCCCCCACGGAGAAAGAAGCTGGCTTGGAATCACACTCCGATCTGACCCCCACCCCCTCCTTGCTGCTTGGCGACAGCCCAGTCCACAGGCGTGAGGATGGGTGAGAAGCAACTGCAGTTGTGCACACGTGATGGGCTGGGACTCTGGAAGCGCTCTGGTTTCTCCCACCCCCCACTCTCTGAAGCCCAGAGCTCCTACCTGTGCAGCTCAAACATCTTCCTGTTATTTTTGTGTGACTAATCGTGCTGGTATTAAGCTTCTGGTATAGGCAGATACTCGGGATTGGCTTCAAGGTGGCTGCCTGATCCTGTTTCTTCTCCCTGCTGGCTAGGTGGCCTGAGCACCCAGGCCCCTGATGCAGAGGAGTTGTGAAGGGACAAAAGGGATGCAAGGAAAGTAGATCTGGTTATGGGGTGATCTGATTATAAATTCCTAACTGGGCAGGTCACGGTGGGTTGTCACACTCTAGGCCTAAACCTTTTTAGAAACAAGTTTAGCTTTGCCTTAAGGCTGTCCGTTGTTTTTGTGCATCTGGGTTGATGCACCTTTGAAATCAGCGGTAACCGGCCCTCAAGGGAGCGCATCTTACCCGTCCTGCAATCCAACCCACGCACTGCTTTCCTCCCACTTCACGTCATCTTCCTTACTTCCCTCCTTAGTGTGAAAGGCTTAAAAGAAACTGCAAAAGTGTCATTCTCCCGAGCATTTGAGATCTTGCTTCCCAGCAATTGTTGTTTATTTTGGCTCAAAAAACTCATAAAAATTCTCTACAGGTTTGGATGTTTCTTATGTCAACAAGGGCATGAGGCTCAACAAGGGTACGGACGCTCCACAGACCAGAGCTCCACTTCCAACTCACCTTCCATCTGCTGGTCCCTTCTGAAGCCCTCGGGGCCCAGGGCCCTGGGTCAGAGGCCCAGTATCCTTCCTGCCGTGGAGGAGGGGCTTTAGCTCACAAATGATCAGCTGCTGGGGGTTGGGGATGAGGAGCAGGAGCAAATCCCATCTTGAAGAATTTTCAACTGCGATCTAAGTGGTCTAGGTGGTCCCAGACACCTGCCCATTCTCCAATCAGGAGAAGGCTGAGCCAGGCCGGTAAAGTCAGGAGGGAGTCCTGAGGGTTCCAGTGGCCCTCTCCCTGCTGAGATCTGCAGAGGGCTTAACCCTCCCACGTTGTGACAGGATTCAGGTAAGGCTTACTGAGAGAGAGAGAGAGAGAACACACGAGCAGGACACGAGCTGGGAGTCCATTTCTTTGCAAACCCTTCAGAGCCTTCTTTCTTGACTAATTTTTTTCTCCAGTAATCCAGCTGCCTCCTCTGATTCTCCAGCCCCCTCCTGCTCCTGGAGCTGGGGCCTGTGGCCTTTTGGAGGGTATTGGGGCTCCATCTTTCCTAACCTGCTGCCATCCACAGGCTGATGGCTCCCACGTCTGCAACCACCTTCCCCTGGGTTGCACACAAGCCCCTCCACAAGAGTAAGCCCAGCGTTTTCTTCTGCCCAGATCTGCTCTTCCCCTTTCCCTTGCCCCCATCAGTGGTGTCAGCCCAGTCTCAGGGGGTGAGAAAAAAAAGGCTTTTGTCCTTGGCTGGGGTGGGAGTGGTGGGAGTCTAAATTAGATCAGACTCTTAGATACTGTATAGAAAGCATAACTGTGTAGGTGGGTGGGTAAGTAGGAGATGGCAGGAGAGCTGGAATCTTGGGACAAATGAGGCTCTGGTTGGTCGTCAAGCCAATGAATGTCTGCGATTTTGAGCTGGAGGTGAGTGACACCTGGGGCTGATGAGGTTGGAGGAGTTGGTGGCTCTGTACATTGGGGACACAGGAGCTCTTTGCTCTTAACAGCTGGGAGCTCAGAAGCCCGCACTCCAGTTCTTGCCCCGTAGTTGGCTCTGTCCTGATTCCCTGTCTCATTCTTACCTGCATCACAGGACAGGGATGTTGGAAGTAGACCCAATTATTTGAAAGGATCCAGCAACTCATACTGCAGGGTTTTATCAGACCTGAGTTTTGTGGAGAAAATGGGTAAGAGGAGCTTGGAGATGGCCTTCGGCCCATATTATTACTATTATTATTATTATTATTATTAGGCTCGCACTATTAATTCACCCCCTCCCGTGGAGGCCTGTCTTGTGACCACATGCAATAATTAACTGCTGAGTGGCCTTCGCCCAATCCCAGGCTCCACTCCTGGGCCACATTCCCACTGCCTGACCAAATGCCCGTCTCCTAGGCCACTAAACCACAGCCATTCCTGAAGTAAGGCGGGTGGGGGGAGGGGGTAAGGAACGGGAGAGCTGAGCAGAAGCCCAAGCTACAGAGAGCCACCTCCACTCCCAGGTATGCCACTCCCCACCCCTCATCGCAGGCAATGAGCCCTGTGGTACTCCCAGCATGTGTTAAAGGATTTGCTGAACTGGGAGGGTCCACTTTGCCTCAGGTGCAGAGAAGCCAGAAGTGGAGGCTGAGGCCAGAGCACAGCATGGCCTGCCTAAGGTTAAACTATAAGTTAGTGCCTGTCCCTGAACCAGAACCCAGGGCTCTTGCCTTTCAGCACAGCCCCGAGTTCTGAGTATGTTAAGTCTGGGGCCCTGGGGGCGGGGGTGCACATGTTGAAGGTGATGGTTATGGGTGGTGGTGGGGTCGCACCTAGTCTAAGATCTGAAGCCGAGCTTAGATCGGGCAAGTGGGGAGAGGGGCTTGCGGGGTGACGTAGGGGGCACAGAGAGGGAGAGCCCTCTGGCTCTGGAAGGCAGCCACAGTGAGAGCTGCTCACTGACCAGGTGGGATCGAACAGAACCCAGGGAAAGGGCTTTCTCAGGCCCCAGCCCGGGACCCCCATGCCCCACGAAAGCCTCAGCACAGAATAGGTAGAGGGGGCAAAAATGGAAAGAGCTCTGGATTTGAGGGTCCCAGAGGCAGACTTGGGTGGTCGCTGCTCTGTGACTTGGAGACATCCCTCCAACTGTGCCCAACTGACTCTTCAATCTGTGCTTACCTGGCTATCATTTGTTGCCCCCCCAATATACATTTAATCCTCAGATGAGAAAACTAAGCCTCAAGATAATTTGAGGTATTTTCCCCCAAGGCCAAGTAGAAGGCAAGTGTGAGGGCTGGGACTGTGGACGGGCTGATCAGAAACCCTGTGCTCTAAACTGCTAGACTTTTGTCCCCAAGGAATCACCCTGCTGTCCTGAGAGTACAGACTGGGTCCTGGAATGAATGACTTAGCAAATGATAGAATAAACGAACACTGGAATGAACAGAGAAGCGGGAAGGGGATGGGGTATGGACAAAAAAGGAAGTTTTCTGTGGAAAGTCACCTCACAGGGTGATAAGATAAATTCCTAACTAGGCAGGTCATTGTGGGTTAGTCACACCCCAGACACATAACTTCTGTACTCAGAGGATATCTTCGCCTTAAGCAAACCTGTCCCTGGTTTCTGTGTATTTAGATTAACACCCTTTGAAATGTCCCCTTTCAGCCCCCTTCTAATTATACCTGACAGCCCTTTCAGGTGCCCCTTCTAAACTTTGCAAGAGGTAATCTGATCCCACCTTGCTTTCTCCCACCTTTCCTCCTTAACCGTAACTTAAAAGAGACTGCAAACTGTTATTTTTCAAAGCATTTTTTTTTCAGTTTGTTGCAATCTTTTGAAATTAACTCATAAAATTCTCTACAGGCTTGGATGTTGCTTAGGCGGACAGGGGCGAGGAGGGGTTGAGGAGGAGAAGGAGGAGAGCTGGGTGGGAATTCAGTTCCAGGTTCCTGCTGGGCAGTCAGCCTGGCCCCCTGCTCAGTGCAGGTCCTGTCCACGAGGCCCAGGTGAGACACCGGAGTTCTACAGAAGACAGGGGTGATGTGGCGACGGGCAGCTCTGGAGCTGCGGCCAGTGAGTGTTTCAGGAGAGCCCGGCACCTGCTCCCCAGTGGGCTGAGGGAACAGTAACCTCCCAAAGCTCGGTGTCTGAGGTCAGGGGACTGAGGTGCTCTGACGGCCGTGCAGAGGCCAGCTCTGGGGCAGAGGGCTCAGGAGCCTCCCAAGGCCCCAGGGGCCGCCCAGCTGTCTGTCACCGCCCACCCACCAAGCCTCTGTGCCCTGTGACATCGCCCAGGCCACATGGGTTCTGGGAGAGAGCAAATGATGAGGCTGGGAAGGGCTGGAACCAAGGCTTTTTAAAATAAACGAATAAGTAAGTAAATAGATAAATAAAATGGTAATGAAAGCAACAAATAAACGTAGGTCTGCAACTTATCTGGAGCACCAAAAGTAAGATATTGTAAACTTTTGCACAAGGTCTTTTGGTGTCAAAATCTGACCTGAAATTAATACAGTGTTTGTTTTAATCCTCACCCAAAGTATGTTTATTGATTTTAGAAAGAGCAAGAGAGAGAAACATCCATGTGAGAGACACATCGATAGATGCCCTGACTCGGGGACCAAACCTGCAACCTTTTGGTGTATGGAACAACACTCCAACCAGCCCAGTCACCTGGCCAGGGCTCTTACAGTTTTTATTTATCCCACCCGTGTAACTGTTTCGTTACAGACTGTGTGTCTGATTGTTGAGTGCATGTTGAGTGCTTGTGTTAACTTTTATAAAATCATAAAATTTTAAACTCTGAAATATTTGCCTCCAAGAATTTTGAACAAGAGATAGTTGGACGTATGGCAACCTCCTGGCTACTTCTGCATTTTTCCCAAACCCCATCCTTGATTATATCACTTGATCCTCAGGATCAAGTGGAGAAGTCAGTGATGCCCGGAGGCGGTATCTGCTCCCACCCCTCACTGAGACTGGGAAGACTGGGGGGTGGGGGTGGGGTGTAAACTGCCCCGGGCTTCCTCAAGGCTCCACCCACCTGGATCTGTTCCCACAACCTGAAGCCCGACCTTTACTTTCCTTGATGTCACTGACTACAGCTCTTCCTTCAGGGGCTGACATGGCCTTAACAGTGACAACGCAGCTGTTGCTCCTTCTGGTGTGGGGGACCGCAGTGCGGGCAGCCCAGGCCCGGGCTGAGCTTCTCAACGTCTGCATGGACGCCAAGCACCACAAGGAAAAGCCAAGCCCGGAGGACAAGCTGCACGAACAGGTGGGCCCAGGTCAAGGAGGAGCGGTCTGGGGTGGGGAGGAACTGACTCAGGAAGAAAAAGGTGAAGACGAAATGTTAAACCCTCTCCCTACCTGAGGAGACAGACCTTGGCCTACAGTGTGGCTTTTTAAAGTCCTTTCCGTGGGGCCCCGCGGGACCCCGCGGGACTTCGAGGAGGCACGCAGCACACTCGGGAGCCCTGGAAGGAAACCCAAGATTCCAGGGCGCATCCCAGGGACGGTGGGCACCCGCTCCCCAGGTTTCCCAGCCCACATCTCACTCCTCGCGTTGTCAGTTGTAACGTGTTCTTCCCTGTGTGATTTTTGTCATCAGAATAAAAACCTGAGCTCTGGCTGGTGTAGCTCAGTGGATTGAGCACAGGTCTGCGAACCAGAGGATCGCAGTTCGATTCCCAGTCAGGGCACATGCCTGGGTTGCAGGCTGGTTCCCTGCAGGCCAGTTCCCAGCAGGGGACGCATGAAAGGCAACCGTACATTGATGCTTCTCTCCCTCTCTCCTTCCCCTCTAAAGATAAATAAATAAAATCTAAAAAAAAAAAAAAAGAATAAAAACCTGAGAAACCTCTTTATTTAAAAAAACTAGAAAAAAAAAAACCCTCATCTGGGCGACCATGTATTTAACGTAAACTGTGCCAGTATTTGCCAGCGCAGTGCTAACAGCGCAGCTTCTTGGCTGTTGGGTTTCCGTCTCCTACACGTGGGGAAGCAGGCCCAGAAAGGGCCCTGGGAAACCACACTGCACAGACTGCTACTGGGGTTCGTTTTGATTTCAGTTTAGACTGGGACTGACCCTCTCCCAGGACTGGGAGGATTTCTCAGTGCACACTGCACAAGGTGCCTTCTTTTCTGCCAGCCCCAAACAGCTCAAGAGAAGCGATCCCCCAGCCCTGAGGCTGGGGGCAGGGCAACTCGGTGCGTGCATCCAGCAAACATTCCTGCATCCGGCTGGGGTCCTCCCCCCACTGGGCCCGCAGTCTCCTACCTACGACGATTATTTTGTCGCAAGCCCTTTCATAACCTAAACCTATCTAAACATTAAAAAAAAATCAATATGACGCCAAGATTATAAATGAAAAACAAAAGGAAGGCATTTGTAATACGCCTTCCAACATGTAGACCTTCGTTTTGGTCTCGTTAGCGGCGAGTTATCTCAGGGCCATGTTTGTGCTGGTTCGGGATCACCGAGCCCTGACCCGCAGAGGTGCGGCTCGGATACTTCCAGCAGTATTGACTTTAACTTCTTCAGCCTATGCATATTTCATTTTTATAATTTTATTTCCTCAAATATTTTATTCATTTATTCTTATATAAAAGGGGAGAGAGGGAGACACAGGAAGAGAAACATTGGGCCGCAACCCAGCAACCCAGACGTGTGTGTGTGTGTGTGTGTGTGTGTGTGTGTAAGTATACATTCTATTATTTTGTTTTGTACTAAATTCTAAGCCGTTGGCTTCCATTCATTCAATAAGAATGTGCCCTGGCTGGTGTGGCTCAGTGGAATGAACATAGGCCTGTGAACTGAAAGGTTGCTGGTTTGACTCCCAGTCAGGGCACATGCCTGGGTGGTGGGCCAGGTCCCCAGCTGGGGGTGTGCAAGAGGCAACCACACATTTTAACGTTTCTCTTCCTTCTTTCTCCTTCCTCGCTCTCTCTAAAAATAAATGAATAAAATATTTAAAAAATGTATTGAGCATTTATGTAATTACAACTATTCTGGGGTTAAAATTTATTCAACTTGCTTCCTTACCTCGTGGTCTTTGTCACCTTCTCAATGAGGCTTGATTGGACCACTCTAAAAATTGCAAACTCCCATCCCTTTACCCCGATTCAGTTTTTTTCCAAAGCAACTATCCTGTGAGAAGTGTTCATTGCTGTGTCCCCAGTTCCTAGGAAAATGCCCCATTTAGAGTAAGTAGCAGCTCAATAAAGATTTGAATTAATCAATTTTGTAATGACTGAGTCTCCCCAAAAGAGGGCCCCCTAACAGCATTTTCAGTGTTTCCCTGAAATACTGCACAGGGGGACTAAGGACTCAAAGGGGAGAAGCTGCCTTAGAGATACAGTGGTGCCTTGGTACTTGTGGTTAATTTATTCTGAAATTCTGTGACACTCACCAAAACCTACTGGCACCTAACGATGGAGCAGTTTCCCTTGTGGGGTGGAATTGTGACTCATACGTGTTCTACCAAGTATGAGCAATCTCGGAGTGCTGAAACATTTTTTTCTCGTCAAAATGTGACAAGTACAGGGTCTGAAGAGTTCTGAAGCCATCGAATACTGAGCACTCGAGTACCGAGTACTGAGGCATGACTGTTATTCTGTGCTCAGCCTGGAACTTAGTCCTGTGTCTTCCCCACTCAGTGCAGTCCCTGGAAGAAGAACGCCTGCTGTTCTGTCAACACCAGCCAGGAAGCCCATAAGGATGTTTCCTACCTGTACAGATTCAACTGGGACCACTGCGGCCCCATGCAACCCGCCTGCAAGCGCCACTTCATCCAGGACACCTGCCTGTATGAGTGCTCCCCCAACCTGGGGCCCTGGATCCAGCAGGTGTGGTGTCCTCCCCACAGCTGCTTCCCACACATCTCCTCACTCTGCCTCTCCACCTCTGGGCCTGTTCAGGGCTGGGCACTGAGGATCCTGAGTCTGAGTCCTTTTCCCTCCACACATGTTCCAGGTGAACCAGAGCTGGCGCAAAGAGCGGGTCCTGAACGTGCCCCTGTGCAGAGAGGACTGTGAGAGCTGGTGGGAAGACTGCCTCACCTCCTACACCTGCAAGACCAACTGGCACAAGGGCTGGAACTGGATCTCTGGTGAGGGCCTGGGCATGTGGGAGGGAGGCATTGGGAGGGGGAGGGTGGGAGTGAGACAGCTGTATGAGGGGTAGTTGTGAGGCCAGCAGAACCAGAGATAGTTTTGACCCCAGTACTAACTAAAGGCCTTCCATCCTTCAACAGGGTTTAATGAGTGCCCAGTGAAGGGCGCCTGCCAGCCCTTTCATTTCTACTTCCCCACACCCGCTGCTCTGTGCAATGAAATCTGGAGTCACTCCTACAAAGTCAGCAACTACAGCCGAGGGAGCGGCCGCTGCATCCAGATGTGGTTCGACCCAGCCCAGGGCAACCCCAATGAGGAGGTGGCGAGGTTCTATGCTGAGGCCATGAATGGGGCTGGGCTCCATAGGGTCTGGCCTGTCCTGTCTGGCCTGGCCCTCATGCTGTTCCTAGTGCTCAGCTGAAATCCTTTTACCTTCTGATACCTGGACATCTCTGCCCAGTTCAGCCCCACAGCTCAGCTCCTGTGCTGGAAGCTGTCCACAGCTTAAATAAACCATATAACCCGCATGTGTTCTGCAAACTGTTTGGGTGTGAATGGGAGTATGACTTTTGCTTCCTAGTTTCCATTGATTGAAGTCAGTGAGACTCGGTCAGTTCCCAGCTCTGATACTTGCTATGAATTTTTCAGATATTTAACTATTCTTCTAACTGAGGACATATTTATAGCTTTCAGTTTCATTTTTCACGTCAGCTCTGATCTAGAGTTAGACCCCGGGTTTTACCATTTGCATTGGAGGCAAGCCTCCCGGGGTTGACAATTCTGCCCTGTGCTCAGCTGTCCAGGAGAAGAGAGAGGAATGGCATCAGTGCCCAGCACGTTCTGGATGGCTGACTGGGAAGAAGTGAAGGGTCCAAAAGAGCCCCGCCCTGCTCTAGCTAGTACCCTCACAGTGCTACCTGCCAGGCAGTGTCCTAAATGCTTTGTACTTATTCCCACAGGGTGTAGACACTGTTGTCTGCATTTTATGTATGTGAAGACTAGCACATACATTCAGGAGCGTGTCCAAAGCATTATCCTCTGCATAGAGCTGGGATTGCACTCCAGGCAGTCTGGCTCTTGAGAACAAGCCCTCTCCCCAGTGTGGGGGGGTCAGTGCGTGCATCTTGAAGGGATACTGGACCCACACCTGGGCAGAGGAACGGGGCCTGAGCTGTTCTGGCAGAGCTGGGACTAGATCCCAAACCTACACTCCTAGCACAGCTTCCAGACCAGTGACATGACAGATTTTTTAGGCAGTGATCTCGCATTAAGTACAGTTTATAGCAGTTGTAATAAGCGGCGTTATGTTACAGTACCATCTCTAAAATCTCGGTGGCTTAACCCAACTAGCAGGTATTTCTGGCTCAAGCTGCAGTGATTAGAGTGGGTTGTGAGGGGGCCTCTGTTCGGCACTCAGCCAACCAGGGTGGTGGAGGGTCCATCTCATCACACACTTCACACACTTCACACACACAGGCAGGAAAAGGGAACCTGGTGAATTCCATACAGGCTCTTAAAACCCCCACCCATCACTTATATTGTTGGCCAGTTCCTGTTACAGTCATGACTAACCTCAGGAAGGCCAGGGAAATGCGAGTCTACGTGTGGCTGGAAGGAGATGGGGATCAGATGAATTTTTCAGATACTTTATATATATATATAAAGTATCATATATAAAGTATCATATATATATATATATAAAGTATCAATATTCATATATATATATATATGAATATTTGTCACCAGAACTGATCACTACTACAAAGACTCTTGCTATGGTCAGTGTATTTCTGGTGTGGTCATGTGTAGAAATTTGTTTTGTTGCCCTGGCCAGGTGGCTCCGTTGATGAGAACCTTTCCCGTCCACCACAAGTTTGCGGGCTCAATTCCAGTAGGAGCATGTGTGGAGGCAACGGATTGATGTTTCTGTCTCACATTGAGGTTTCTCCCTCTCTCCCTGCCCCCACTCCTCTCTCTCAAATCACTAAGCATGTCCTCAGGTGAGGATTACAACATTTATTTTTCCTGTTCCATCATGGTAATGAGGAGGACCAAGTCTAACAGTATGACAAGTGGAGCAGTTCACTGGCTGCCACCCTAACAGTCTTGCGAACAAGGCCAATGGATGTATCATGTTTTCTACAGAACCTGTGACACTATTTACAAATATGACTTGTTTCCAGATGTATTAGAATTAGTGAGATTTACAATTAGAATTGCCTTAATCCAATGTAACTTCACAAAAGCCTAGTTTTGCTGTTTGTGAACCATGTAATATAAAATACTTGTTGGAACCCTTCTCTGTAGCTGTCATCCTCAAGTTCTTAGAAGTCATTAGCTTACAGGAAGTATTAATAATTTTTCATATCAGGGTCTAGAACAGTAGCCCAGGCATAAGGAAGATACATAGTTTAATGGAATGGAATCAGAGCCAGAAATAAACCCTTGTATTTATATTTAATTGATTTTTGACAAAGTTGCTAAGGCAACTCACTGGGGGAAAGGACTGTCTGCCCGACGATGTATGTTGACAACTGACTGCCCACGTGAAGGAAGATGAACGTAGACCTTCAACTCATGCCACACACACACTCAACTCAAAATGAATCATAGACTTAAATGTAACAGCTAAAACAATGAAAATTTTAGAATTTTGTAAAAATGTTACAAAATTCTAAAACATTTTATAGCATTTTCTGGAAAACATTTCCCAGATCCTATGGTAGGCAAATCTTTCTTAGACTGAAGCTTCCACCTTTTACTACTTCCGTCTTTTACTACTTTTTTTGACCAAAAGCACTGAAAAAAACTGACAAATTGGACATATTCTACCTCAGAAGACACCCATAAATAACTTAAAAGACAGGTTACAAGACTGGATAAAATACTTGCCAAGCACAAGTCTGATAAAGGATTTGTAGCCATACTATGCAAAGAATGCTTACAACTCAATAAGAAAACCAACAGCCCAATCAAATAATGGGTGAAAGAAATAAATGGACATTTCATCAAAGAAAGTACATGACTGGCTAACAAGTATATAAAAAGATGTTCAACATCATTAATCATTAGAGAAATGCAAATTAATGCCATAATAATAGCCATTTCATACCCACCAGAATGACTGATAAATAAGAGAGCCAATAATAAATATTGTCACAGAGGTGGAAAAATTGGAACCCTCATACATTGCTGATGGAATGTAAATAGTACTGCCCTTCGGAAAACAGTGGCAGTGTCTCCAACGTTGAATGTAAAAGTCTTATGACGCAGCAATTCAAGAGAAATGAGAACAGATATCACACAAAGATGTGCATGGGAATGTTCATAGCAGCGTATTCCTAAAAGCTCCAAACTGGGAGTGATGGAAACAGCCATCAGCTGATGTACAGACAGACGAAATGTGTAGTCTCTACTCCACGGAATACCACTCAGCAGCAAAAGGTAATGCACTACCGACACGCGCTATGTCATAGATGAATTTTAAAGACATTATACTAAGTGAAAGTTGGTTTGTATAAAAAATCCAGAAAAGGCAACTTTATAGAGAGAGAAAGCAGATTAGTGGATGCCAAACCGGGATTTGGGAACAGGGATTAACTCTAAGTGTGTATGAGATGGAATGAAAATATTCTAACTCATTACAGTGAGGTGGTACCATTTGGCAAAATTAATGTAAACTTTAAATGAATAAATTTTATGATATGTAAAATAAATGAATGAATAAATGAGTGATTGCCTATAGGATATTCTCCTTTGCACTGACAGCATACAGGGAATCTTACCTGATTCTGGTTTCCATAGGGTGTGCCCATGAGGGATGTATTCTAAGGAATTTAGCATCTGGCTCCATCCAGTCTATCATCTGAGACAATTTCTATTTCATCATATACTTTGAGACATTCATTGTAACAACACAGCAATCAAGTAGGGAGTCTGTTCTTGGTGTAGATGGAAACAATACCAGTTGAGACACTTAAAAGAGTAACCCATTGACCAAGAATTTTTTTTTAGAGAGAGTGTTTATTCCAGTTGGCACAAGTGTGGTCAGCTAAATTGAGGGTTAGTGATCAGAGCCAGGGAAAAGAAAAAGGATGGCATCATATGACTAATTTTAAAAAGAACATGAAGCACATTGCCAAAAATACCAACACAATAAGCACAATCATATCCTTTTTTGTTAACTTCACTATTTCTTTAAAAATGATTTCTTCTTACCTGTTTGTGCATTACCATTTTCCTCCATAGAAATCTTTACTTTGGGGTTGAATTTTTCTGGACAAGTACCAGGGGCTCTGATAGGCTGCATTATCCAAGTGCTGGTTTATGGTGATGATGTCAGACCTATGAGCCTAGTTTCCTGTCAGTCAGTTATGCAGGATCTCTAGGAAAACCAAAGGAGAGAACAGAAACCACCTGTGAACAATACTAGATGATCTGACCAATCAAGTCATTTGCAAGAGCAGAATGAAAGAGAGAGGAACAGAGCATGACCCTCCTTGTGAGAAAGTTCATGAGGTCTCAGCTGATGGAGGCTTTGAAAAGAACATATTTTTAGAACCTAGGAAAGAAAAGGTGGACAGGGAGAATAAGGCTTCTCAACCACTTTACCCAGCTTATTTTTGGTAACTCCAATTGTCTCCTCTATTTTCTGGAGCTCTGTGGGTGATAAGGACAGTGGATGTATTCAGAAACTTTGCAGGCCTTACAGTTATTTAGTAAGATGTAAACCAAAATTACTATCAGTAGTAAAAGGTGATTTTAAACAAAGGCATAAAATCATGTTGGAAATAAGCTTGTTGACAGTCATCATGCAGGCCCTTGCCTGTGAACATGAGCATGCTTTTACCTGCTGAGAGTGTCTACCGTAACAGACAGTTCAGTCGGAGCCCTTTACCTTGTACAGAACTCGCCTTGAGGGGATGAGGCCCTCTCTTTGCTTTCATCTTCCTTCGTATTACGGGCACGATGAACAGGGCAGCCTTTTTAACACTCGAGCTATTTTTTAAAATGTGGAGCATACCAATTTTACCTAATTATTTTTAGCATCCCTCCTTGAATACTTCCCATGTCTAGGAAGTGCCCAGACATGGATGATTTTGGTGTAAAATACATCTCAGTAGTTTTATTATTCTTAATTTAGGGCCTAATAGAGAGAAGAGGAACTAAAAAAAGTGTTGTCAGGAAATAATCTTAGCTTTGGCTGTGTTATTAATTTTTAAAAAGCTGTATTTTACAACCTTGCCATTAGGAATATTAACTTCTCTAGAAGTTAATAACCTACTGTTGTACATCATGACCCAAGGGCATGATGTGAGCCAGCGCACCATCCAACAAATTAACATATTTTCTGAGAAGTAAAAGTTCACATTCAGGCTGGGTAAGGACCTTAACACTGCTGTAGGGGAAACACACAGGAAACAAAGATAACTTTTATTTCTTCATGGAAGTGTAGAATGTACACTCAGAGATCCTTTTTTTTTGGTAGGAGTGGTCAATATTATTTAAAGCTTTATGCTTCTTAAAATAAAAGTGATCTGAAGAAGCACTTCTGGAACGGCTGAGGAAGGACATCCGAGAATCCACACTCCATAAAAGCACGAACACTGGTCAAACGTCAAACTTAACCTTCCAGAACTCTGCAACTTCACCCAAACTTTCAAAACCTAAGGAGCATTTATTCAAGAAAAAATGGTTGAATCTCAGTAGGAAGCAGCAAGCTCCTGACACTCTGACGTGTTTATTCTACCCCCATCCAGCTCTCCCCAACTCCACCGTAGCCTTCAAACCCAGCTGTGTCACGACTACAGTAGCTGTGAAAAACAGCAGCCTAGCAGCCACTAGAGGGGACGGAATTCCTCAGAAACTCTATCCCTACAGAAATGTCACTACATACATGATTTACGTGGCAGTTCCTGGTAAGAGCCCCACTCACACGACTAGTCTTATATGACCTGACTCAGGGCTTACACAGGGAGAAACCTCATTTTTAGGTATTTGTCTAAACAATCAGCAGCAAACAAACTGTTTGACATCCCAGCTTCCTGATGCAAGAAAACCAATTGAGACCAAAAAAAAAAAAAAAAAAAACGCTAGCCAAAAAACTTAAAAAGAATATTGGGAATGAGATTTAGAAAGAGGGTTTTGAAACACTCTAACATACACCTGGGGCTCAAGAAATCCACATGCATTTGCAGAACTGTATGTAAATCCAGGAAATATATGAAATGGCCTCATTCTCTCAATTCTAGTGAACTTGAGGCTTGGCTGAAGCAGGGAATGAGGGATAAGGTAGAGTAAACCACCAGAGCTTTGAAGGCTGAACCAACAACACACAAGTCTCTTGGCAAAGACTAGAAAGCATGTAAGGAAATCTGTCCACTCATCAGCTGGGCAGAAATGTCAGTGACCACACATGACAAAGAAAACATGCCTTACAGAATTAGTCCTTGAAAGTAACAAAAAAACGGAGGAGGGGAGGGCTGGGATGGGGGGAAGGGCAGAAAACTATACTTGAACAACAATTAAAATTTTAAAAAAGTAACAAAAACGAGCCCTGGGAGTATCTAATTTCCAGAGATGCCATATTTTGTCATTTAAAATGATCAGTTTTTACCACTCACCCCAACACAATGAGATATGCAAATAAACAGAAGGGTGTGGACCATATACAGGAGAAAAAAAACAATTGATAGAAATTGTCTGAGAAACTCAGATGTGGAATTTATTAGACAAAGCTTTATTTATTTATTTATTTATTTATTTATTTATTTATTTATTTATTTATCTTTAGAGGGGAAGGAGAGGGGGAGAGAAACATCAATGTATGGTTGCCTCTAGTGTGTCCCCTGCTGGGAACTGGCCTGCAGGGAACTGGCTTGCAACCCAGACATGTGCCCTGACTGGGAATTGAACCGCGATCCTCTGGTTCGCAGACCTGTGCTCAATCCACTGAGCTACAGACAAAGCTTTTAAATCAGCTATTATATATATAAAAAAAGAGTTTGAGGAAACTATGTCTAAAGGATTCAAGGAAAATATAAAAATGATGTCTGACCAAAAAGAGAATTATCGATAGAAATATAAATTACTTTTTAATCCAATAGAAATTCTAGAGTTGAACAGTATAATAACTAAAAAATGTATTAGAACTTCCTCACCTTGATCTACAAAAAAATCCTAATCATACTTAATGGTAAGAAACTGAAAGATTTCCCACTAACATCAGATGCAAGGCAAGGATGTCTCTCTCCCGATTCCCCTACAACATCATGATGGAAGTCCCAACTAATGCAATATGATAAGGAAATGACATAAAAGTACACAGATTGGGAAGGAAGAAATACAATTATTTTTGCTCATAGGTGACATATTTTTCTACATAGAAAATCCAAAAGAGGGACTTCCACCAAGATGGAGGCATAGGTGGATGTGCCGTGCCTTCTCCCACAACCAAGATTAGAGAAAACTAAATATTAGCAACAGAAAACACAGCCAGAACACGGAAAATTGAACTTTTCGGAAGTCCGTTAACAACAAATTCTTCAGCCTGACCGGTAAGGGGCGAAACCAGCGGCTGGCGGAGCGGGATTGCACGGGAGGACTCGGCCAGACACACTCGGGCCCGCGGAATCCAGGCTCAGGGTCAGACCGGGTGAGCAACCCAGCGAGCAACCAGGCGAGCAACCTCGGGGGAGACAGCCGGGCCAGGGGCTGCGTGTTGACTGAGGTCGCGCATTTGTGCGAGGGTGGACAGGCGAGGGAGTGGGCGGTTGGACCGGGCCAGCAGGTCCCCACGGCAAGCGGCAGTGGAGGGCGCCGCCATTTCCCTGCTGTGACCCCACCTCCACATACAGCGTCATAACCCAGCGACTCTGAGTGGCCCGGCCCAGGTGAACCACCTAAGGCACTGCTCCTCCGCACCCAGCTGTGAGAAGCGGCAGAGGGGGGTCGCCATTTCCCCCGCTCTGGCCACGCCCCCCACATACAGCGTCACAACCCAGCGACCTGGGAGTCCAAGCCGCGGCTTCTCACACTTAAAGGGCCCGAACAGACCAAGAATGGCGCAGGAGGATCTCAGAGCCCCAGAAATAAATCTAAGTGATGAAGAAATAGCAAAACTCACAAACGCACAGTTTAAAAAATTGGTGATCAGGATCCTCACAGAACTGGTTGATTATACCGACAAATTAGACAAATATATGAAGGCGAAACTAATTGAAATGAATGGAATTGCACAGGACACCAATAGCAATGAAAAGGAAACTGGGACTCAAATCAATGGAGTGGACCAGAAGAAAGCAAATAATGGCCAAACAGAAAAGAGTCAAGAAGCAAGAATTCAAAGAAATGAGGAGAGTCTTAGGAACCTCCAGGACATCTTTAAACGCTCCAACATCCGAATTATAAGGGTACCAGAAGGGGGAAAGGCACAGCCACCAGTGGAAAACTTATTTGAACAAATAATAAAGGAGAATTTTCCCAATCTGGCAAAGGAAATAGACTTCCAGGAAATCCAGGAAGCTCAGAGAGTACCAAAGAAGTTGGACCCAAGAAGGAACACACCAAGGCACATCGTAATTACATTAGCCAAGATTAAAATGAAGGAGAGAATCCTAGAAGCAGCAAGAGCTAAGGGGACAGTCACCTACAAAGGAGTCCCCATCAGACTGTCAGCGGATTTCTCAAAAGAGACCTTACAGGCAAGAAGGGGCTGGAAAGAGGTATTCCAAGTCATGAAATCTAAAGACCTACAACCAAGATTGCTCTATCCAGCAAAACTTTCACTTAAAATGGAAGGACAGATAAGGTGCTTCTCAGATAAGATCAAATTCAAGGAGTTCATCATCACCAAGCCCTTATTATATGAAACGTTAAAGGGACTTATCTAAGAAAAAGAAGTTAAAGAAACATGAACAGTGAAAGGACAACAAACTCACAGTTATTAACAACCACACCTAAAACAAAAGCAAACTAAAAGGACAGCTAGATCAGGAGTGGAAACATAGAAATGAAGATCTCAAGGAGGGTTAGCAACAGGGGGAGTGGGAGGAGGAGAAGGGGGGAGAAGGTACAGAAAATAAGTAGCATAGACAGTAGATAGAAAATAGATGGGGGGGGGCAAGAATAGCATGGGAAATATAGAATCTAAAGGACTTGAGACACATGGTCATAAACTAAAGGGGGGGTGATGGTGGGGATGGGGGGTAGGGTGGAGGGGAATAAAGGGGGAATAGAACAACTGTAACAGCATAATCAATAAAAAAATAATTTAAAAAAAAAAAAAGAAAATCCAAAAGAACTGACACAAATGTCTTGGGACTAATAAGTGATTAGAGCAAGGTTGTAGGATACAAAGTTAATATACAAAGTCGATTGCCTTCC